TTCTCCAGGCAAGAGTACTGGAGTGCGTTGCTGTTCCTTTCTCAAGGGCATCTTCATGACCCAGGAATCGAACCCCAGTCTCCTGCATTGCAGACAGTTTCTTTACCACCTGAGCCACCAGGGAAGTCCTCAAACAGAAGAAAACAGTTTCAGCTGAGCTACTTAAAATCCTCAAAGATGATGCTGTCAAGTGATGCACTCCATATGTCAGCAGATTTGGAAAACTCAGTAGTGGCCGCAGGACTGGAAAAGGTCAGTTTTCATTCCAGTTCCAAAGAAGAGCAATGCTAAAGAATGTTCGAACTACCATAAAATTGCACTCATTTCACATGCTAGCAAGGTAATACTAAAAGTCCTTCAAGTTAGACTTCAGAAATATATGAACCGAAAACATCCAGATGTACACGCTGTATTTAGCAAAGGCAGAAGAACCGGGGTTCAAATTATCAACATCTGTTGGAAGATAGAGAAGGCAAGGGAATTCCAGAAAAAGCATCTATTTCTGCTCATTAACTGCACTAAAGCCTTTGACTGTTTGGAAAGCAAACTGTGGAATACCAGACTAGTGATGGGAATACCAGACCACCTTACCTGTCTCCTGAGAAACCTGTATGCAGGACAAGAAACAACAGTTAAACCGTATGTGGAACAATGGACGGGTTCCAAATTAGAAACAAATACATCAAAGTGGATACTGTAACCCTGTTTATTTAACTTATATGCAGAGTACGTCATGCCAAATGCCAGGCTGGATGAATCACAAGCTGGTAACAAGATTGCAAGGAGCAATATCAATAACCTCAGATATGCAGATGACACCAGTATCAGTAACCTCAGATATGGGAGAAAGCCGAGAGGAACTAAAGAGCCTCTTGATGAAGGTGAAAGAGGAGAGTGAAAAAGCTGGCTTAAGACTCAACTTTCAAAATCTAAGATCATGGTGTCTGGTCCCATCACATCTTGGCAACTAGATGGGGAAAGTGTGGAGAAGGTGACAAATTTTATTTCCTTGGGCTTCAAAATCACTGTGGATGGTGACTACAGCCATGAAATTTTTAAAAAGACACTTGCTCCTTGCAAGAAAAACTGCAAAACACACAGCGTATGAAAAAGCAGAGACATCACTTTGCTGACAAAGATCCATCTAGTCAAAGCTATGGTTTTCTCAGTAGTCATGTATGGATGTGAGAGTTTGGACCATAATGAAGGCTGAGTGCTGAAGAACTGATTCTTTTGACCTGTGGTGTTGAAGACTCTTGAGAGTTCCTTGAAATGCAGGGAGATCAAACTTGTCAATCCTAAAGGAAATCAGTCCTGAATATTCTTTGGAAGAACTGATGCTGAAGCTAAAGCTCCAATACTTTGGCCACCTGATTTGTAAGATCCGACTCATTAGCAAAGGTTCTGATGCTGGGAAAGATTGAGGGCAGGGGGAGAAGGGGACAGCAGAGGATGAGGTGGTTGGATGGCATCACCAGGAAGCCTGGCATGCTGCGGTCCATTGGATCTCAAAGAGTCAGATACCACTTAGCGACTGAACAATAACAACAAGAAGAAAAGAATGATAGAATTCAGGCATATATTATAGCAATATATTATAATATAATATATTATAATATAATTATAGCAATAAAAGTGTACTGCCAAAACGTCTTTTCCATTTCTCTGACCCACTTTGCTGACTTGCCTCTTCTGTCCTGTTTATAAAGCGCAAGTCCAAATGGTATCTAAATTCGCTATCTTGTAGTTCTGTTGTATCCTGGAATGTTTTCTCTTTAATGTCCTTCCTTCCTGTTTTATTGGTCTCTGTTTGTGAAGAAAGATTCTATGTCTATAGAAAAAAAATCTTTCTATTAGAAGAAAGAGTCTAATAAAATATATAATTATGCATTGCCGATAAGAATCAGAAAACTTGCTTTTCCTTGTACCAACCTCTACACCAGTAATTATTCCTCCCCTACACTTTCCGGTTGACTCTGCCACTGTCCTTGGGGTTGATTAAGATAGATTATACTAAGTCTATATTTCTGTTCAAGATTTGTGCTCATGACATTTGTCTACTGATTACTTAATATTGTATAAATTCATTGTTTACTTCCATAAAGTTACTGAAGAATGAATATGACATCAGATATAACTTTATTTTTACTTCCTTGCTGAAATTTTATTAAACTCAAGAGCTGAGGTCAAGGAATGTTCAATGATTTCAATCCGTGTCCAATTTTTACATACTCTATGGAACATCAACTGTCATAATATTTTTATAGGCTTATCCAGTAATAAAAGTGACCTAATACAGAGAAGACAGTTGTCATTTTATTTCCAGTGACTCGGGTGTGTGAAATAAATCCTTAATAGAGAGTAATGCATTAATCTAGCTGATCATATGTAATTGGGTTAAAATAACCACAGGCATGACTGGAACTTTCCATGAAAAATTAAGGTTATTTGACACCCTCCACCACCCTCACCTTTCTTTCCCCAAGTACCCTGGCCTTATTTTCTTGCAAAGTGAATTCCATATCGATTATGATAGTGGAAGTGACAAATAGGTTCAAAGGATTAGATCTGATAGACAGAGTGCCTGATGAACTATGGACGGAGGTTCATGACATGGTACAGGAGGCAGTGATCAAGACCATCCCCCAAGGCAAAAAGGGGATGCATCAAGACCATGCAAAAAGGCAAAAAAATAGCTGAGAAAAGAAGAGACGCAACAGGCAAAGGAGAAAAGGAAAGATATACCCATTTGAATGCAGAGTTCCATAGAATAGCAAGGAGAGATAAGAAGACCTTCCTCAGTGATCAATGAGGAAGGTTGCATCACCTCATGACAAATAGATGGGGAAACAATGGAAATAGTGTCAGACTTTATTTTCTTGGGCTCCAAAATCATTGCAGATGGTGACAGCCGCCATGAAATTAAAAGACCATTGCTGTTTGGAAGAAAAGCTATGACCCACCTAGACAGCATATTAAAAAGCAGAGATATTACTTTGCTGACAAAGGTCCATCTAGTCAAAGCTGTGTTTTTCCAGTAGTAATGTATGGATGTGAGAGTTGACTGTAAAGAAAGCTGAGTGCTGAATTGATGCTTTTGAACTGTGGTGCTGCAGAAGACTCTTGAGAGTCCCTTGGATTGCAAGGAGATCAAACCAGTCAATTCTAAAGGGAATCAGTCCTGAATATTCATTGGAAGGCCTGATGCTGAAGCTGAAACTCCAATACTTTGGCCATCTGATGTGAAGAACTGACTCATTTTTTAAGACTCTGATGCTGGGAAAGATTGAAGGCAGGAGGAGAAGGGGACGACAGAGGATGAGATGGTTGGATGGCATCACCAACTCAGTGGACATGAGTTTGAGTAAACTCCAGGAGTTGGTGATGGACAGAGAAGCCTGGAGTGCTGCTGTCCATGGGGTCGCAAAGAGTTGTACACGACGGAGTGACTGAACTGAACTGAATGATTATGCAGTCTCATTTCTGCTTTTTGTGAGAGGAAGTGCAGATAACTGTTCAGGAGGTATCTTCTGTATAAATTCTACCACTTCTTAGTAATTGAAACTTGGTTTATTCTAATCTTCCTTCTCTTGGCTTTAATTTGCCTTTTTCTGCCATTTTAAAGGCTGTACTGATGTCAAAATTAGAAGCTGATTGTTTGCGTTAATAAGGAGACCATTGTTGTGAAAATTCTTTGTAGGGCAGCAGAGACAAAGAGTCTGATATTCTGGGGGTGGCGTTGGTAGAACTGAGACTGTAGGTATAAGGAGGTGGGGTGTCCTTTGGGTGTTTAATGTTTATCACCCCTATTTCTCTGTACTGCCATATTCCTATTAATAGATATCTCAGGGCGTGATTGATTTTTTTCATGTTAAAGTGAATAAAGTAATAGTGTTAGTCACTCATTTGTGTCTGACTCTTTGGGACCCCCTTGATTGGCAACTCTGTCCATGAAATTCTCTAGGCAAGAGGATTGGAGTGGATAGCCATTCCCTTCTCCAGGGATTTCCCAACCCAAGGATCAAACCTGGGTCTCCTGCATTGCAGGCAGATTCTTTACCATCTGAGCCACCAAGATACTTAAGGTCATGATTGATTTTTTTTCATATTAGGGACCTCCCTAATGCATATAGTTGAATGTGTGGATTCACATAAAGATCCAGAAGAATAGTGAGATAGTTTATCAAGTGAGGGATCCCTTCACTTTGTTATTAGTGCTAACTCAGTAGGAGTGTAAATGTTCTGAAGTGTTGAAATGACTGACATTCTGAAGTCCTCTGTGCCAACCATTTACCATTACCGGTGACCTTGGGCAAGATGTCTCAGTGACCTTGGGCAAGTTCCACAACCTTTCTGGTTTTCACTTTGCTTGTTTCGAAAGGGGAATAAGAGTCCCTACTTCACAGGTTCACATAAAGTACCTAGAACCGTACCTGTCAAACAAAACCTACCCTTCTTTTTATTATTTTTATTATTTAAAGTTGGGATATAGTTGCTTTATAGTGTTGTGCTGGTTTCTGCTGCTCAGTGAAGTAAATCAGCTAAATATATATATACATATGTATATATGTATATTCCCTCTGTCTTGGACCTCCCCCCATCCCACCCATCTAGGTCTCTACTGGACATAAACCCTGAGAAACCATAGTTCAGAAAGACACATGCACCTCAATATTCACTGCAGCACTGTTTACAATAGCCGGGACTTGGAAGCAACCTAGATGTCCAAGGAAGTACTATTCTTATTGCTATTAGCTGTGCTTTTATTTGTTCTTAGAAGTAGCTGAGAGTTGAGGAATGTGCAAACTTCTCAAGTTACACTGCCCTGAGAAGTGCTAATTCTTATCAAAGCGCCAGGTGACTAATAAATACTAAAGGAGAGGAAATTGCTATTTCTGGCTGCTTTGAGGCGCGTGTTTGAGTTGGCCAGGAGTGAAGTTTTCCTACTGTTGTGGATTTTGTTAATATCGCCTTCTGATGGACTCCTTTTGGGGTGTTAGGATGAAACTGTAGTCCGCGTCCCTGGAAGATGCTGTCCACAGTGCTCTTCGCGGTCCTGCTCTGCTGCTGGCCACGTGTACGAGGTAAGCTTTGATGTGCCTGTCGTAGGTGCAGTGATACTCGTTCTTACACGTCTGCCCGCTGCCTTGCTAACCATCATTCCGCCCCCGCCCTCATCTGACTCTGTGCCAGCATTAGTAACTCAGTACATAAATGGCTTATTTCTTCTCTTCATGGAGAGCCTTTCTGAAAAAATTAAATCGGAGAGGATTAGAAATATAAAAGAATGTGCTGGCAAGCAGCATCTGGTTCGTGAACCGTGGTGAACTTTCTGTTCACACCTCTTGAAGGGAAAAAGGAGTACCATTGGTTACTGTCAGTGGACACTTAACCTGGAGGCTCTGGGAACTTCTGTCTGGTTTGGACTTTATGCGCTGATATTCAAAGACAGTGTCTCCTGACTTACAGTGAGGTTGGGGGCAATGCGGGGTGGGAGGAGAGAGAGGGGAAGGGCAAGGAGCTTGGTGGTGGTGGAGCCTGCAAACCTGAAGGTACTATTGGGACAGTGTAGGTCAGCACCCAGCGCAGAGCAGGCACCAAATGAAAATGTGTTCAACAAATCGAATGAATGAATGTTCTGTCTTGGGAGTACCCAGCTGAACCAAAAGAAGGTTACATTATTCTAAAGCAAAGAATATATCAAAAATAAACCCAACTACTTCCCTTGCTTACCAGTCATTCTGAGGAAAAGTAAATAGAAATTGTGATTTTTGATTCTCAGCAGAGAATCTGGAAGAGTATTAGGGGATGCATGACATAAATTCTAGATGGTTCCCTTGAAGTCTAGATGAAAAGAACTCATGGGTAAATGATTTTTCTATATACTAGAACTCTGCTGTCTAATACAGTAGACACATATGTGCTAGATTATTTCCTCTTGGAAGGAAGGGCCTCTACATCTGTTATGGTGTTTCTGGCTGCCAGCAACAGAAATAAATGCTCCTCTAAAAGTGGTTAAGATGAAACATTTATGACCTCACATAGCAAGAAGCCCAGCGGTGGGGAAGGTGCAGGGTTAGTTAGGTCTCCGTGATGTTGTCTTTTGATCCTTGCACTCTCCCATCCTCAGCTTGTTGGCATTTGCTTTCTGGCTTGTCCCCTCATGTTCCAGCCACTGTGTCTTCCACAGCTTCAGGCAGCTCGTCCTCACCCACTCATTACTTAAGCCTGATGGAAGAAAGGGGTGGGCTTTTCTTCTTTTATGGGCTAAGGAGAGTCATTTTTTCAACCTCTAGCACTCTTCCCCTGGGGTCCCCTTGTTGGGGGACAAAATCTGTGGGTTGGCTACAAGGGAAGCTGGAAAAGTGAGTGTATGGCCATGGGAACTGGGTCTCCCAGCCAAGAAGAGCTAAAGAATAGCCATCAATTAGCCAACAACACTGACTTCCTATGAGGCTCAGTGTTCCCAGGCCTCTGTGTACCTAGGCAGGCCCTCAAGGCATCTGCAGAATGAATCTAGTTGAATAAGAATGAATCCAAAGTTCTCTGACTTTTGTTCTTAGAGCCTCTTGCTGTGTGAATGTTGTCATTTCTCAGGAGTACATGCAGTGTGACTCAATTAAAAACTAATAAAATGTTGTGTGTCTTATGTGCCCCATGTTTCTGTCTGATACATGTGACGTTTGATTTTCCGCTTTTCCCCCCTTTCTTCAGCATGGAGAGCAGTGGCGTGAAAATGCTTGCACCACGTGTACATGTGACCAGGGTGAGGTCAGGTGTCACAAACAGCCCTGCCCTGTATTAAGATGCGAAAAGGTATGTGGGCGTGTGCAACTTGATTCTCCAACCTTTATCGAGGTCACTTTCAAAATGCGTTTCTTGGTCCAGTGTGTCCCTTGAGGGAAGAGAAAATGCTATGATGCTCAGATTATGAGATAGAGGTAGGAAGCACCTGCCTCCCAGGAAGGAGGTGGGGGTGGAGGGGAACCTGCCTCCATTTGGGGAGGTGGGGGAAGGGAGAGTGAAAGTGTTACTTGCTCAGTCCCTGTCTGACTCTTTGTGACCCCATGAACTATAGCCCATAAGGCTCCTCTGTCCATGGGATTCTCCAGGCAAGAATATTGGAGTGGGTTGCCATTTCCTTCTCCAGGGGATATTCCTGACTCAGGGATCAAACCCAGGTCTCCTGCATTGCAGGCAGATTCTTTCCCATCTGAGCCACCAGGGAATGGTGTACAAACTTGGTGTTTTATGTCCTTTTGCTCCGATGCTTTGGTGCCCTCCTGACCACTGCCCTTCTCCTTCCTTCTCTCTGCTTCCTCAGGGTCAGAGACGGGCTTGGCATCAGGGGCAATGCTGTGAGGACTGTGTGTCTCCTGCTGGAAGCTGCTCACACCGAGGGCTTGTGAGATACCAGGATGAAATCTGGAAAGGCTCGGCCTGTGAGTTCTGCACGTGTGACCGTGGCCAAGTGACCTGCCAGACTGCAGAGTGTGCCAAAGTGGAGTGTGCCCGGGTAAGAAGCGAAGGCATCTCTGTTTGGACTTGAAACCCTCTCTCTAGCAGGATCGGTGGTCCCCCACCTGTTCCCTCCCGTCCCTTCCCAGCAGAGGGGACAGCCAGGTTTGATGGCTCAATTTCAAGTTGTCTTCAAGCACGGAGATTCTGTAGTGTAAATGTTACTTTCTGTTCAGATTGGCTTGGAACAGCTAGCCTGGAGCAATTAGCTCTCGGTGCAGCTGGTTAGATGGGAAGCCCTGAGCCAGAGACACGGACACAGAAAGGGATGACGCGGGACAGGAGCCTAACAGTCAGCGCAGCTGGGCCTCGTCACTGGTGGCTGCCCAGCTCAATCTGGTTCTGAAGCAGAGTCCGCAGGTGCTCTGGGGGTCCGGCTTCGGTCACAGGCCCCACTGGCAGCTTTTAGTGGTGAGCCAGCACCTGGAGGCTCTTCCTATGAATCAGGAAAGGAAATGAAATGTGTTTGTGTCTTTGTTTTAAAGAGGCACAGAGGGAGACCCCATAAATAATTAACTCTGTTGACCTCTGCGGACTTGTGCTATCTGCAGAATTTCTAGAATCTTTTAACAAAGTAGCCTCTGTTCGGACTGTAGATATATATGGTGGGGAAATTGCTTTTTTTGTTTTCCCTTTGAACTCAATTTTGACCCGCTGCAAAACAAATTGCTTTCAAAGCTGTCTCCCTCTCCCTGGCCGCTCCCATCCGCCCCACCAGTTTCCCGCGGGGCTGTGAACTTGAGTGGATGAGGGGAGCTGGGAAGATCTGAAGCGCGGGGTGTCAGTGAAGGCGTTTTTCTTTCTTGTTCTCCCCCACGTCTCAGCTCCTCTTGACATGGCTCCTGGGGAGCCTATCAAACAGCCTATCAAACAGGGCTGTCGGCGACAGAGTTCTTTTTTCACGTTGCTTCCTACTTCTGGGTCTCAGCAGAGCTGAGACACATTTAGGTAAAGAGGGCCTCGTCTTTCGCAGATTTATTTCCCTCTACATGCCTTTTCATTCTCTTCTTTATGTCAGGGGAATCAGATTGGTTGGATGAGGATGAGAAAAACCCTGGTCAGGGCCCTTTTCTCTTTCCCTCTCTCTCTCTCTCTGGGGCCAAGACTGGGCTTCCTGGCCTTGGCAGTCTGCCCAGAGGATGCTGGGTTATTTCCAAGGTTTTAGATTGTCTGATATCCCAGGGTTTGTGGAAAATCTGGGAGAGGTGATCCTGGTAGGGTGGGTCCCTTAACCACCTAGTTTCAGTCAGGTCTATACCAAGAGTCTCACTCACAGGAAATAATTTGACCCCCCATCCCCAGTGTTAAAGCATTTGCGAGTACCTGCCAGTCTTCCATGGCTCCTGCTGTGGTAGCATAAACCAGGTCCTCTCCTTTGTTCTTAGGGAAGTGGGGAGCAGCTGATGAAGCCAGTGGAATGCGTCTCAGTGTTCCGCAGGTCACCCCATAGCACCCCCCTCTATTCTCCACCCACGCCCACTCGTCTTCTCTTTTATGAATTGAGTTCTAATGCCTTTAGCCTATTTCTCCAGATCTTTAATCAGTTAGCACATATTGTTTTAAGACCCTGGATTCTACACTGAATGTACTACCAGATGGGAAATTTTAACCAACACTAAACCATGCAGCCTTCTTTCTGGGCCATACTTCTGTAAATTGCTTCACTTAATGACCTTGTGCGAAAGTCACTTAAGTGTCTTCCCTGGTGGCTCAGATGGTAAAGAATCTGCCTGAAATGCAGGAGACGTGGGTTCGATCCCTGGGTCAGGAAGATCCCCTGGAAAAAGGAATGGCAACCCTCTCCAGGATTCTTGCCTGGAGAAATTGATAGAGGTGCCTTGCGGGCTAGTGTCCATGGGATGGCAAAGAATCGGACACGACTCAGTGACTAACACTTTCACTTTCTCAATGACCTTGTGAAAGCCTGGGATACTCACTTCTTAACTTCTGTGTAGCTTGGAGATAACAAGATGAATAAGATACATTTTAATCTCAAGAGTTCCCAGGCTTTTCGAGGGAAGTCGGATACATACATAGGAATTATAATATGCAATGACACCAATTATTAGGAATTAACATGAATAAAATGCGTTAGGAGCACCTGGAGATAATGATGACATTTGCCAAGGGGAGCAGTAAAAGTACACTATTGGTATTTTTACTCAATTTTACCCCATTTTCTGCCTATTCTAAAATATATCAAGGTCATTTGATTTCTAATCTTCATACCAAAGGTAGAATAAGTCTGTGTTTATATCCACAAAGGTGCAGAAAAGCAAACTTCTAGAGAAAGAGGCAAAATTGTGCAGCATCACCATTGTAATAATTATTGCATTATTATCAACAGCAATGTTATGATAGCATTGAAATAGCAAATAGTTTTTCTTTGTTGATAAAGGAGCAAGTAGCATGACCTTTATCATTGATATATAAAACCAAATCCCTAGACATTGAAATATAAGTAAATCAGCAGTAGAATAGCATGACAGGATGATTTCCATGTTTCTATATTTAGTATTATCTTTGAACATGAATTCAAATGAAGAAGTCAATTTGCCATTTTTTTTTTTTTTAAAGCCTCACTCAACATTCATATATGAGAGATAAAATGGTAAGGGAATCAAAGTTTCTAGCAAAAGATATGGAAGAAGGTAGTCATGCCGTAAATGTGAGGTGCTTTTCCCTTCTCCAGCAGAGGAAAATTCCCTCAAAAGAATGTTCTCTCTTCCAGTGGGCAGGTTGGTGGAATGACAAAGTCTCTTATCTGGTGGATGGATGCTGGTGTGATTCAGTGGTAAGGGGTTAGCAGATTCCATCTGGCTTATGCAGCAGAATCCTCTTAAAAAGAAGAGTTAGTTTTGTTTCACAAAGCGATTTTTCTCAAAGCCAAAGTCTGATGCTAATTGGAGCAAGCTCCTCATCACAGTGAACTGATGCAGTCTGGGGCATCCAGATGTCTATAAATAGCAAATCTATTTAGAACTTCCTGCCTCACCGAAACTGCATCCTCACTCCCCAGGAGCAGGTCTAGTGGTTATTTTCAGGAGCTTTTGAAGACTCAGAAAAGCTACCTTCTTTGCCTTATTGGAGTGATGGAGGATCCATTTTCAGTTTTGTCTGTCTGTATTGTAGTAGGCATTCAAGAATGATTCATGCATTTCAACTTTAATAGAAGTACACGTACTCCGTCTTGTTTCAAAACATTGTTTTAAGTGACTTAGATTACACGTTTATAAACCCCTTTATATGCTTGGAGAGCAAATTTCTCTGTGTTTGTGGGTTAGACCTTCACTACCAGCTGAGTTGTCACGTTTCTGCAAAACAATTTATATGTAAATACGTCTGCTCCCTGTAGCACCCTCTGACTGGCATGAAATTTTGAGGAATAGTGATCTATCTAACCCCCTCCTTTTCGAAATAACTTTTTTGATATTATAAAAATTATGGTCGTTCATATATTTTTGGGTTTCTTTTAAAAGTGATAGTTCCATTAAAATAATACATATTCGCTTAGAAAATGGAAGGCTCAAGAGAAGTAGAAAATAGACTTTAAAATCCATTCATAATGCTACAATTGAAAGGCAACCAATGCTTTTCTTTCATATTTTTCTTTAGTGCACAGTGTTTTTAAACATAAAATACTGTGATTATTCTGTTTATGCAATTTTACATTATTCAGTTTTTACCTAACATGGTTTTTACACTTCAAATGTAATATAGCTCACAAATTAAATAATGTCTTCATGTAAAGAAGCATCATCATTTTTTAAAAAGTAGATACATCTTTAGAAAGTGGGAAGTGTTTTAAAGAATACTCTTTAGCCTACAGATATTAGATGTTACTATATTCATATGAAAAGTTGTAAACAAAGCTTGTCTTTTCAATAGCAGAGTTCCTGGGAGGTAGGACTTATGTTTAATGAAATTATGTTTTCTAAGTTATAGAATTCAGAATTATTTTTATAGTAAGCATTTATTATTTTATAATAAAAATTTTGAAATGAATGATTTTGATAAGTTAAAAGTGATAAAATGATGACTTTGAAAGTTTAATATCTGCCTTTCTAGTATAGCATTTCTTTCCTTCCTCTTGTAATTTTTAAAATAGTGATTATGTGAATTGGATAACAGTTTCAGAATATTGAGTAGAAATTAGTTTTCTGCTGTTTAATTTATGCCTGAGACTTCATCTGTGCATATAGGGATGTGCCTGATTTTGTATTCAAGGGAAAATGTTGGTGTGATTTGAGCACTGTTAATGAAATCAAATCACAAGTTCGAGCCTTGAACATAAATTTAAGGTCCTTTTCTGAAACTCATAACTTCCCATGACTACAAGGTTACTTGTGGCCTTTCTTCTTCATGGGAGTTCCTGGTCATGGGTAGGAAATCATACACAAAGACCATGAGAACTGGAAAGAAAAAGGCACTTGGAGGAAGGGATGAGCTGTATTGACTCGGCTTTTCGTAGGATTATAGCACAGGGGAGATCCAGTGAGTCAGGAGTCAAAGCCGATGGGTGTGTTATGGCTTTCCATTCTGCTCAGGGAATTCAGCCACTTGGCAATTTAGTGCTGCTACCTGCAGATGTTAACTTGGTGTGTTCCTCTGTAACCTTTATTCTGCAGGGTGAAGAATTAATTCACTTAGAGGGAAAATGCTGTCCTGAATGCATTTCAAGGAATGGTTATTGCGTTTACGAAGAAAGTGCAGAATTTGTGAGTATCGGGCTAATAACCGAAGACTAATACAAATGAATCTTTGGAAATTGGTTTAATAAGGGGGCATTACCTTCTCATTTCTTTTACCCATTCACTTGTTTAACAGACATGATTGCACAACTGTTGGGCCGGGTACTGGAGGTACAGAAGGCCACCCAGCAGGCAGAATCCCTGCTCTCACGGAGCTTTGGTCTCACGGTGGGCAGATAGACGACAAACACTTGTGTTGGGTGGTGGCGGGCGCCACTTTGAAAATGAAACAGCTGGGTAGTAACTGAGGGGAGAGAGGCGTCTTTTACATCGGATGATGGGGCAGTCCTCTCATGAAGAGAAATTTGAGCAAAACCTGAAAGAAGATGCTGAGGGAGTGAGCCGAGGATGTGGTGGAGGGGGATACAAACCAGGAAGAGGAAACAGCAAAGGAAAAAACAGTGAAGCAGAAGTGTGCTTGGCAGGCCCAGGAAACAGCAAGAAAGTGAGCTTGGCTAGAACCAGGGAATGAGGGGGAAAGGCTCTGAGATGAGGCGCAGGAGGTAGCCTGGACCCCGGTTTCACCCGGACCCAGACGGGAGCTGCTGGGCAGTCTTGAGCAGAGCAGGGCTGTGAGGGGCTTACTTGTGAGAGAGTCACATTGGCCACCGTATGGGCAAGTGACAAAGGTGGTTCGGTTAGAAGGTTTTTGCAGTAGTCTGGAGGAAAGTGGTGGTGGTTTGGTCTAGGGAGGCAGTGATATAAAGTGATCAGGCTCTAGGTTTATTCTGCAGGTAGAGCAGAAAGGATTTTGATGTGCTGCATGTAGAGCAAAACTCTATTAGTTAAGGTTTTATTTATCCCTAAATCTGTACTTTTTTTTTCTTCTATACCCCCGGGGAAACATATTTATCTTAATCTCTTCAAATTTGCTCTATCTTTATAGCTTTTATTTTCCACGTGGGGTTCTTGGAATGTTGATAAATTCAATGTGTTCTTAAAAGCACAGTCTGTTAATCATAGATACAGCTGCTTCACTGACCATTCAAAGTGGGATTATCAGTATTAGGATTAGGTACTTTGACTGGTGAACTGATTCCTACACCCTTTTCTCTTGTGATCTGGGTGAATTGCACCTGTCAACTTGCCAATGTTTCGTATAAGCTGGGGAGCTGTGTTGTGTAGGGTTAAAACATGCGAGCTCTAAATTCAAACCCCTACTTTGTCACATACTGACAATGACCTTGGGCAAGTTAACTTAATCCTCAGCTATAGAGATAAAAATAGTACTTATCTCATGGGTCTTTTGAGATGATACATATAAAGTTAGAACAATACCTGGCATATAAAGAAGCTTAAGATTATTATTATTATCATCATGCTGTTGGCATTGTTTGCTTCAAATTGATACTTCATAATTTAGTCACCTTTGTTTCCTGAGAATTTAGGAGATTAAAGGTTCCCTATAAATATTGAAGTTGTATTTTCTCTCTTTATCACAGTATTAATTTTCCTGTCCATTTTTGGAGGTAAATTAAGCCCAGTAGAATTAAATAAAAGCAAATTGTTTTAAATAAGCACAAATTCCCATGATGTTGCAGTACCATAGAAGTTTCAAGAATTTGCTCTTACAAGCTTAGGTCTCCTGCCTGCAAAGTCCTTCATATTGAGGGGAATTGAAGCCAAATACTTCAGCACAAAGTGAGAATAAGAATTCAAAAATATTTCCTAGGCATATTGTCTTCACCTCATATTGGTATGCTTTTCTTGTTTTTGATATATATTTTATTTCTGTTCATAAACAGTGACTGAAGTTGCTTGTTACTTGGGGAAAAATGGATATTTCCTATTGAAAAAATGACTAGATCAGCCTAATGGTGTTTTTAGTAGTATAAAAATAAATATATTTCTGTTTTGCTTTGTTCCTAGATGTCCTCAAATGCAAGTAAAGTTAAACGTATTCCAGTAAGTATAAATTTTTAGCTTGTAGATAAATATGTAGAAAATTATTTTAAGCAGTGATCTATATAAACTGTCCTGGAAAACCTTAATGCTCAGTATTTTTGATAGTCATATTTGATGGCACTGTGGTCTGGGATTAAGAATTGTAATGATAACAAAGACTGATTCATTGAAATTTTGCTAAATACTGTCAACATTAATCGTTCAGAATGCTTAACATCAACTGACTTAATAAACATTTTATCAAAACTTTATTTTAAAGTATGCCCTTTTATTCTCTTTAACAGTACGTCCTTCATGTCCCCAAACATTCTGGTAGGAACTTTTGTCTCTTTTCTATCTCCAGGGTGAATAGCACAGTGAGCAGAAAGGAATTGCTCTTTATAATTCACTTTGGACGCTCTGTCAAAGCACTAATGTTTATTATCATCATTTGCTTGGCTGAAAAGAATATTTAGTGTGAGAAAGCCCATGGCACATCCCATGGCCCACTAAATGTGGGTATGCGAGAGCTGTCACTGTAAGAATATATGACCCTACTGTTGCTTTTACTGTAGTAACAATAAGGAAATTCAGCATTTTAACCTGCTTCCTGCTGTTGTTATAAAGATTGTATTTAATGTACCTGCTAATCACCAGGTACATAGTAATCCCTTCTGTTTTTTTTTTTTTTTTTTGCTGAGATAGGTTGAGAAACAAGTGTTATATGCTTCTTGCATATTCTGGAAGCCCCAGAATGCTTTCATATTTTATCTTTCTGCCTGAGTTCTACTTTAAAATAAATCAATTATGAACAAAGAAGGAGAGACGCTATCCTTTTGAATTTATAACTCTTGTTGTTGTTCAGTTACTAAATCATGTCCGACTCTTTGCAACCCCATGGACTGTAGTATGCCAGGCTCCTCTGGCTTCCATTGTCTCCCAGAGTTTGCTCAAATTCATGTTAACTGAGTCAGTGATGGTATCTAACTATCTCATCCTCTGCTCTCCCCTTCTCCTTTGGCCTTCAATCTCTCCCAGCATGAAGGTCTTTTCCAAGAAGTTGGCTCTTCCCATCAGATGGCCAAAGGATTGGAGCTTCATTTTCAGCATCAGTCCTTACAATGAATATTCAGGGTTGATTTCCTTTAGGATTGACTGGCTTGAACTTTTCTACTGATGTCCTGTTTCAAAGTTAGGTTTGACATGGTACTAATCAGGACCCTTCACTTTGACCCTTATGGAAATCATGCGTTCTCTACCAGCCAACCGGCTTCTGAATCTCTGCATTCTGATAACAGCGTCCTTCTTTGCTGTTTCCTGCAGGAGGGGGAGAAGTGGGAGGATGGCCCTTGCAAGGTGTGTGAGTGCCGGGGGGCTCAGGTAACTTGCTACAAGCCCTCCTGTCCTCCCTGCCCCGTGGCCACACTCGCCCAGGTGGTGGAGGGACAGTGCTGTCCCGATTGCACATCAGGTGGGTCCATGACCAATTTCTGTCTGCTGAGCTGTTCTTACTGCCACACAATTCAGAGAGATCTCCTCTCCTCCCGCCCCTTGCTTATTTTTCTCTATGCACTCACTTGGTTTGTTTGTTTCTTCTTAATTTTTTCTAACAAATGATGCTAATTAATCTTGGCCCATGCGTTTGCCAAACTCAGCTGATTATGAGTATGTGACCTCACACAAGTCATTGGTCCTCTCTGAATCTTCATGTTCTTGTTGATAAAACGGCCTTATCTTCCTTGCAAACTTATTGTGAAAATCAAATACAATAATGTTCAAGAACTTGTAAAGGCAAATATGGTTACTAGGATTGCTTCGTTGTCGAAGATCAAAGAAAAATTGTTGCAAGTTTGTTATGGATGTTCATTTCTTTAAGATGAACTATTAAACAGATGGTTCCTTTTGGAGTTCTCAAATGGGTTTTTGAAGTTGAAGGATCCATTAATTTCTTCCAAAAGAAAATTTTATCTACTTGTTCTGCAACTCTGCCTTCAAATCACCTGGGGTTGAATTAGTTCCAGTTGATAATTGTTGGCAAGCCCTAGAGTTGCTCTGGCTGAGCAGTAATTTGCCTGAGTGCTCAGTCTGCCTTGGAGAAGTGGCATTTTCTTGCACTCATATTTCATAATTAATTGTTTTCATCTGCAGTTTTTCATATTGGCAGTTGCACTTGTGGCACTCAACGTATTTTGGCGAATCGGTGTTTCCATGAAGAGTTTATCATGGGGAAAGCATGGCAATGTCAGGGTTTCATTACTTTACCCTCACCAAAGTGATTCTTTGGGCTTTCCAAAACAAATATGTAGCGTATTATAATTTCCCAAACCTTGAAAATCAGGTCCTTGACAACTGTGAAACCTAACAGTAGTCCTGTGCTGACAATTTACCATCAAGTTCAGTGATGATTCCAGTGACTGGTAATGAGGTTTGAAATCTTGGAGAAAAAAGAAGAAAAAAACAGCTGTATTTTTCTTAGGAATATAATAACTATTTTTCAGTAGTGTAGGTTTTATGTTTTAACCTTTATGCATATCAAAGGTTAGGAAAAACTTCTTGGAAATTATAAATCATTGAATCTGTTTAAATTATTTATCATGGAACTAGTCATTCCTGTTTCTAGAGGTATTCTAGGAGACAGAAGCATGAAAAGGCCTAGTTTGGTAATGTTTCTAATGTTTTCACTTTGGGGACACAGTGATTGTATTTCAAACAAGGAGCAATTCCTTGAAATCTTACATTGAAATCAATTCTGCTATTTGGAGTCCTTTTTCATCCCCAGAGTTTTCTCCATATTTTTTTACAGATCCTCTATAGCCCTTTTCATGCATAAAACCTATACTGTTGAAAAATAGTTATCATTTTCTAGAAAAACAATACAGCCACTTTTTTCTTCTTTTTTCTCCAAGATTTCAAACCTCATTACCAGTCATTGGGATCATCACTGAACTTGGTGGTAAATTGTCAGCAAAGGGCTAGTTTAGTATTGTTTTTAATGTCTTCACTTTGGGGACATAGTGTTTTTCAGTCAAGGAGCAATTCCTTGAAATCTTGCATTGAAGTGAGTTTTGCTATTTGGAGTCCTTTCTCTTACATACCTAGAGTTTTCTTGATATGCGATACAGATTCATATACCCCATAGACCCCTTGTTAGAAGGAGGTAAGAGAAATCATATGGTCTTTACTGAGTTCTCCTCTTCTTTTTCCTTGATCATAGTTCATTGCCACCCAGACTGCTTGACCTGCTCTCAGTCTCCAGACCACTGTGACCTCTGTCAGGATCCCACCAAGTTGCTGAGGAATGGACAATGTGTGCACAGCTGTGGTCTGGGGTTTTACCAAGCTGGTGCTTTCTGTTTAGGTAAGGCTCCAGGCAGACCACCCAGGGAGGGACTGAGGCTCACTGGTGTCCTGGATGGGGTCATGGTGCAGGAAACGCACAACTTCCAAAAACCATGAGAAGGGGGTAATGTCATCCGTAGGCTGCTTGACCTCTCCCATCTCACATTTGATGGGTGTTTCCACTCTTACTGGGAGATATTAATAGACGATGGGGCAGTCAGATGTTTACTAGGTAGTTATGGCTGGATTTCTCGCTTTCAAGGATAGTCATCTGTTAATCCAAGATAGAACTTCAGAGGTAACATGACCTTCGAGATCACTTACTAGAACTTTATTGTTTTGCTAATGGGGAATCTGCGGACCAGAGAATGAGCTGGCTTGCTTAATATCACACAGATAATTGATAACAGAGCTTACCTCTCGTGGGTTACCAGAGGATCCAGAGGGGGTTCATGTGCATTTCAGAATCTTATAGTACATATGGGGCTTCCCAGGTGGTGCTAGTGATAAAGAACCCGTCTGCCAATGCAGGAGATGTAAGAGATGTGGGCTCAATCCCTGGTTCAGAAGGATCTCTTGGAGAAGAAAATAGCTACCCACTTTACAATCCTTGCCTGGAGAATCCCATGGACAGAGGAGCCTGGCGGGCTATAGTCTATAGGGTCACACAGAATCAGGCCCTACTGAATCACATAATACAAATGAGAGGGAGCTCTAATTGGGAGAATTGGACTTGGTTGAGGCCAAATCATAGTTACTTTTTCTCCTATCTCTAACTCAGGGGGTTAATTATCCATTTTACAATATGTAGGTTTACACCCTGGCTGTGAGTATAACCTCTCTGTGCCTCAGCATTCTTACCTGTACAATGGGGTGGTCCCAGTACCTTCCTCAGTAGGCGTTGTAAGGATTACATGTGTGTGTACACATCAAGTGCTTAGAATAGTGTCTGGGATATTGTTAGGCCTTGATAAAAATCAACTGCTTTTATTATTTTTATAATCATTCACTTCTCCCTACTCTCTCTTCTGATTCATGATCTACAAACCTCTTGGAAGTTATTTATATCTCTGAATAAGGGGTGTTCTTATAAATGATTGAGTGAGAAAGCTACTGGGGGCAAATGGATAAGAAGAGAAGAGCAAGACCCTTGAGCCTAACTGCCTGGCTTCCAATGCCAGCTTCATGCGACCTTGATCTCGAGCAGATTATGTTACCTCTATGAGCTTGCTTATCATTTGTAACATTGGGATTGATACTCTACCTCATAGCGTTGTTGTGAAGATTAAATGCATTTATATATGTAAAGCACTTCATGCATTGCCTGGCAGGAAATACATGCTATGTAAATGAAGGCAGGTAGAGTTATTTTCCTGCCTTCCTGATTCTCTGTCTCTTCAGAATTGGGCTGTGCAGGTGCTGGCACCAGGGCGGTGCCCTTGAACTAATGAGAGGTTCCCTTTCTCTTTCTCCCACCCTTGTCGAGCCAGCCTGCCAGCCACAGTGCTCCACCTGCACCAGTGGGCTCGAGTGCTCGTCCTGCCAGCCTCCCCTGCTGATGCAGCAGGGCCAGTGTGTGTCCACCTGTGGGATCGGCTTCTCCCAAGACCGCCACTCCTGTGCAGGTAAGCCCTGGCCCGCCATGGTCAGGCGGGCCACCGAGAAAGCCACCCCCCTGCCCCCAGACTACCTGGGGTCACCCGGAACTGTAAGCAGCTTTTGAAGTAGGAGAAGAAATTCTGAATGTGATTCCTGATGGCACGGGAGCAATAGATGAGAGACCTGATAAACAGTGTTTTTATAATTTTGTGAGTGCTTTAGTGATGTACGTTGTGATATGATTTCTAGAAGTACTTTCACGCATATCTGGGGACCCTGGGACAGTATCTGATGAGCATTGTACTTTGACTCGGGTTTCCCAGGTGCCTCAGATGGTAAAGAATCTGCCTGTAATGCAGGAGACCTGATTGCTAGGTCAGGAAGAGAAAAGAGAATGGAAAAGAGAATGGCTATCCACTCCAGTATTCTTGCCTGGGAAATCCCATGGACAGAGGAGCCTGGCGGGCTACAGTCCATGGGGTTGCAAAGAGTCAGCCACAACTTAGCAACTGAACAACGACAAAACCCTTTGGCTCAGATTGTCATTTTAAAATGTTGTTAAGTCAGATTCCTTCATGGTATAAGAACACAGGACTTAAATGAAGAGGAACTATGTTTATGTATTTTTAAGCTTTACTTTCACTTAGAGAGGGAGAAACAGAAACAAGAAACATGGACAAATAAAAGTAGGCTTTTAAGTTTACTCCTTTAGTATCTGCCTACTAAGCATATGTCTTAGTATGTATTACTTTAGTAGCTTTATATGCCTAATTTTTGGTTTTTTAAATTTTATTTATTTGTTTTTTGGCTGCTTGGTCTTCATTGCTGCTCATGGGCTTTCTCTAGTTGCTGTGGGCAGGGCTTCTCTTTATTTGCAGTGTGCAGGCTGGGCTTCCCATTGGAGTGACTTTTGTTGTGTGGAGCCTGGGTTCTAAAGCACTTGGTCTTCAGTAGTTCTGGTGCACAGGCTTAGCTTAGCACATGCCCTGTGGCATGTGACATCTTCCTGAACTAGAGACTGAACCCATGTCTCTTGCATTGGCAGGTGGATTCTTAACTACTGGACCACCAGGGAAGTCCTTGTTTATATTTTTAACTCTATATCTTTTTTATTACAATCTTGTTGAAATTGGTATCTTAAGCATCTCTGGAGGTGGGAATCGTCATAATATGATTTAATTTGTATTTTATACGTGACTGTTTTTTCAATAGTGATTATAATCATGGGTATAAGTAAGAGTAAATGTATAAAGAACTTTTTTAAATGCAGAAATGGAGGGAGGTGTGATGGTGAGAGCAAAGAAAAGGACAGAATCCCAAGTTTGGTCTTTTGAAAGAGACAGGGAATCAGGTGTGCCCAGAACCTAAGGCAGGGTGTGCAGTGGCAGGAAAACCTGAGGAGGCAGATGGACCAGAGGGTGGGTCTCGGATGTCATCCCAGAGAACTGTGGTAGCTGCATTCTGCAGCTGAGCCAAAGGGCAGGGATGTGACAGGAATCGGGAGATGGCCAGTCTGAGGGTCAGCTAAGTAGGCTCCTTGGTTAGATTTTCGGAAAAGTCAGAGGGAAAATGGTAAAAGAGAACCAGTGCTATCTAGGCTATTTAAGTAATAAAAGCAATTTGCATGTCCACCTATGGATAAGCAGATAAACAAAATATAGTCTGTGTATGCAGTGGAATATTATTCAGCCTTTAAAAAGAAGAAAATCTTCCATATGAGACAATGTGGCTGAATTGGGGACATTGTACTAAATGAAATAAGCCAGTCACAGAAGGATGGGTGCTCTATAATACCCCTTATTTGAGGTATCTTGGTTTTCCTGATGACTCAGTGGTAAGTAAAGAACCTGCCTGCCAGTGCAGGAGATCCAGGTTCCATCCCTGGGTCAGGATGATCCCCTGGAGAAGGAAATAGCAACCCACTGCAGTATTCTTGCCTGGGAAATCCCCATGGACAGAGGAGCCTGGCAGGCTACAGTCCATGGGGTCAAAAAAGGGTTGGACATGATTTAGTGACTAAACAGTGATGACGTATTGATGTATCTAACATAACAAAACTGACAGAAGCAGAGAGTAGAAGGGCGGTTGCCATGGGCAAAAAAAAAATGGATTCCTGCAGTTAAGCAAGTCTAAAATTCTGGTTGTGCAAGATGAATAAATTCTAGTGATCTGCTGGGAGAAAAAGAGAGTCAGTGCATGGTATTCCTTAGGTGTGCAGGCTGAATGAGCTCCAAGGCCAGGTGAAAGTTCCCCATGGAGGAGACTGCTGGCCATCTCCACTCCTGGTCATGGTTATGGGCAGGATCCACAGGACTGTGGAAACCACCTTGAAAGGAAACACTGGTACTGTCTGTGCCATGTGGATGTGAGGCCAGTGGGCCTGGATCCAGTCACGTTACAAAAAGGGAAGCACCCTAGCTTATGAATCTGACATGGGGGCTCTTTGAGATCTGGAAGAATTCTATATTTCTGTATCCCCAGCATCAAGGGCTGCACGAAGGGTTCAGATTTGTTTGGCATTTGTTGAGTGTTTGAGTGATGAAGGAATGTCCTACGCCTTGGTGATCCTTGAAGGACCAGCTTTGTGACAGCAGTGTCAGCCACAAAAGAGAAAAGAACTCCCAATGTTTTTTGCAACCCTGTTCTATTTACTGGTTATTTTAGAAAAGGTTTAAAGTGGGTGCATACGAATGCTTTTTTAAGTGTCTAATGGTTCGGCAATTTAGGTAAACTGCTGGAATTTCAATTTGATGAAATTATTGAATGTATTCTTTATTCCTTTCTTCTATCCCATCAAAGAGACCTCCTGCTAGCACTCTTGCAACAGATTTGCCTTTGAAAGGGAAGTAATTCCCCCTAGATTTTATTCCCCACCCATACCTCCTCCACCCCAGCCACATGTCCCACATATATGTTTACTTTTTTCTTTTTTTGGCCACTTTCCTTCCTCCCAAGCCCAGTGTTTTAATTGGTGATGTTAATGTGGTTTCAGGGCACTTTGAAATGGGTAATGTTTCATTTGATTACTGGTTTATGTAGCTGACTGCTTCCACATTCCATCCACATGCCCATACACAAATGCCTTAGTAGAAAGTTGCTGGGAAAATTTGTTCATGCTCCCTCCAGGGAATTAAACCAATTTGCTTTAGTTCAGCCTGGATGCATTTTTATGCATAAAATGAGAAGAAAAAAGAGAGCAAGAGGAGAGAGAGAAGAAAGAGAACGATCTTAAAAATTAAGGCTACACTTGTGATCAATTTCCATATACTGGTTTGATGGTGAGATTGCTCAAATAAACTTTCTCATTATTAGAATTTTTTTTTTTTTTGCAATATTTGTGCTTTGCACCATTTTGAGTGTTTTTTCACCACCGACCTTAGAAGTTGATCAACCACTGCTCGTTCAGAAAGTGCTAAACTTTTCAAAATGAAGCCTGCCATTTTATGGTTTTTCTGGATTGATTCCTTCTGCCAGAATCATTTATGTTCTGGCTGGCATTAATCGCCACTTTATTGACCCATCAAAAGCAAAAGAAAGCGAACACATGCTGAGGGAACTCATTACCAGAAATTAGCTGATTAATATTCATGCTCACCGTGTTGAATATGAGACAGGATGAGAAATTTGAGGCAGACCTAAGAGGCAGACCCAAGAGGCACATAGACCTGTGACTCTTCAAGAAAAGAATCAAGCAAGTAAACCAGAGGGAGGTGAAAGAAGGGCCTGAGTCCTACCTGAGAACCACATCCTTGGGGGCCTTTATCACTGTTTCTTTTCCCTTGAGTTTTGTGGTATAGACACACATATACGTATATGCCTACAAACATGTACACGTGTACATATATTCACATTATTGTTATAATCTTGTGCTTTATTAAACTGAATAACATAATTAGAAATCACATTTTGTATCCCCCACCAGTCAATGCTTCATTTCCTCTCCCTTCCCCAACTTGAGAGTTTAACGCTTTGATCACTTTACCTGAAGGCTCAGCACCACCCAGGCTTTATATCCATCTAAATTGGAGATAGGCGATCTAGAAGTTGTCTCTTTCCCACAGCAGAGAGGACCAAGGAGTAATCACCCTCCGGATGCCCAGAACTCACCCTTTAGGTGTGGCACTTAGGCGTCTGCCTTAACCCCTAGACTTCTTTTTTGGTGCCAACTAGATCTGATCCAACATTCCTTCTTGACCCTGTGGACATCAGGTCCTAGGCCTGAGTTTCTACTCTGGTTCCTGCCACTTGTCCTGTTGTGATCCATTTCCAGGAATTAACAGCCTGTCTCTTAACCCTGACCACATGGTCAAGCTTGATGCATGTATGGATGTTGTTTGCCCCACCTCCACACCACGTGGCCTTGTACAAGTCCACCATGGCTGTTGGGTACCACTTGTCCTAGACTTACTGTATTCTTTCTACCAGAGTGGTAGTTTCATTACCTCTTCTTAAAAACCTTGACTTTAAATCTAAATCTGGATCCAGACTGAGCTCACCTGTCCTGAGAACATTCTTCCTTGCCTGTCTCACCCATCTTTTCAATCAACTTCTGTCTTACTCTGCTGGGACTATTAAACTGTGTATGTAGATCACAGATATAAGAGCCCACAAGAAGTTAGAACAACTACATTAACGCACACCATAGAAGATTATTTTAAAATGAATAGCTCAAGACTGTTGACTCTGAGTAGAGAAAGAGTAGAATTTAGCCCATGTTTTGGTATGTATCACAAAGGTTGGAGGATGGAGCTGTGTGACCCTGGCAGGTGCTACCTTCCTTCTGCAGACCCAGAGATGGGAAAGAGGGTGACCCCTTGCTCAAGTGGAGACAAACCACCGGGATTCCGATCTTGGCTCTGTTGCTTCAAACAGCCTGTTCTTAACTCTGTGTTTCAATTGCTTGTCGCTAAAGCGGAGGCAGTAATGTCTACCACACATCACTGTTGTGTGGATTAAATGAGTGAATTCACATGTGTTGATTAGGATGACACCTGGCACCTGTAAACCCTCCATATATATTTGGAGA